ATTATCCATCAATTAGCTCTTGATCCAAATCATTTCAAAGTTTCTTCTTCCAGAATAGGTAGAGACATTATATCCTTCCCCTAATAAAACCCAATTTGGATTATAGATTAGAAACACAAGGTAATAAGACCACATATCAAGTGTTCCCATTCTTTAACGACTAAGACAGATGCATTTTACTTTTTTCAAACGTGGAGCTCAAGATTCATAGACTTGACATCTCTTAGAGGGATCGTCAAAGTACTGGCCTCTATAGTGCCCAAATAAGTTCCCCAGTAACTCCCCAGTTCCCCTATGTCCCATGTACTGCCAAGCATCATGATTTATTAAAGTTGTCATAACTTCAACAATGCATATTTTTTGTATTAAGCTTTTGTCTCTATATACTTTTAAATATATATACAGTAAAATCTCCCTGTAAAAGACATCTAATTGCAGAGTCAAAGTGTCCTTTAGAGAGAGAGGTGTCCTGCTACTGGAAAGTTGCTAAATAGTAAAAATGGTAATTTTGTAAATGAAAACTGTCCTTTATAGAGAGGTGTCCTCTAGCGAGGGTGTACTCTCATGGAGGTTCTACTGTATATAATGTGTGACATTTTGATTACAACTTTGTTGTTACCATCATAGAGAGAGAAAAATGTATCATCTTCTTATCTGCTATCTTGTTTACACACTTGATAACAGTAACTATTTAAAAGCACGCTGTGATTTATTCTCTCATTCAGTACTTTGTCTGATGATAACGCAGTTGCTGAAACCTCACCTACTATTTATTTATTTGGATTTGGTCTTATTACCTTGTGTTTTATATCTCCCCTTTAGGGGGTGTGCATATTTATTTTTTAAAAAGTAATAGACAATGTTTCAGATGAATAGTTATCTTCTACTGACTTGTTAGAAATATAGGTTGTCCCAAAAGTTTGTAAACACTTATACAAAAATTGAAATACCAATATTATTCGCCGTTATGTATAATGTCTTTGTATTATAAACACAAGGTAATAGGACCAAATCCAAATAAACATGTTGATATGATAGCGCGATCGGTAAAATTGCGAATAAAAAAGCGCCATATTTATTTATTTGGATTTTCCCTTTATTATCTTGTGTTTATAATCTATAATCCAAATTGTGCCTTATCGTCTTTGTATTATGTATAAAGTAATTGTATTATGTATTCTTCGTAATAATATTATTGGCCAAGAAAAACACAAACTTTTTGCACCACCCTATATTTGGTTAACCCAGGTTCCTAGAGCCATGTACAGAAGCCGCCAACTAACCGCAGGTTGTCCTTCAGACCTTTGTTTTACTTACAAGGCCAAGTGGATTCATGATTGGAACCACCAGGCTGGTTTATTTCTTGAATGATTCCCTCTCTTCAGGGATGTCGAGAAAGATCTCATATGCAAGTTATATGTAGAGGGAAATTTTTCCTTTTGATAAAGCTTACATTTTAAATTTTCAAAAAGTAAATTTGTGAATTTTTTTTTTTTTATCATTTTAAAACCTTTTGTAAATATACCTTCAAATCATAGCTGTGAACCTCCTCTCTTCTATAAAAAAAACTTGTACCAACATGGGTGAGGGCAAGAATGAACAAACACTGCTGGGATGTGAGTTATGTCAGACTTGTTTGATTTCCTTTTTGAGAGTCGTTGTCATAACTTGTACATGTCAAAACAGAACCATCCCAATAAGGTTTGCTATAGCAAGGTTTTACTGTATTTAAAAAAATAACTTTCTTGTATGACAATTAGAACACTTCTTAGTCAATATTTACATGAAAAAGATCGAGGGAATTATATACACCAATACCTCGCTTTGCGTCGTTTCGTTTGCATTTTTTTAAAAGTTGCGTCGCTGCTTAATTTTTACTGATTTTCACTGTGCGTCGGTAGATTTTCGAAGTTGCGTTGTTTTGGATTAGAGTCTTTAATTTTTTTTTTCCTAAAATATGGCAACACCTTTGTTTTTGAGCCTTTGCGCCTTCACATATTTTCACTTTGCATCGTTTCAATTTGCGTCGTGTTTTTTTGGAACGTAACCCCAACGCAAAGCGAGGTATGGGTGTATACAATCAGCCAGGTGTTCTTCCCCACCGCGATAGTGTCCTTCTCCAGGCGATGACGGGGTCCTCGATGGTCTGGGCCAGTCCGACCTGGACGAAGTATATGTTGATTCTTGATTTCACCGATGCGGCCAGATCGTCTACTATCAGGCCTGTCCCGAAGATCCAGGACTGGAGGTCAGGGGGCCTTCCTATGGTGTTGAATGCCTCCCGGACGAGAGGCCTGATGTCATGGATTGAGTCATGAAGACAATGTCTTCTTAGTAGAATGTTGAAGTTACTAAAAACATGAGTGTGGATAGAGAGAGGTCTCAAATTTTTGATTGTTTAAACCTTGTAACTTTACAAGGCAGTTTTAGGTAGAAATTTTAAATGGGTAAAAACATTTTTTTTTCTAAAATTTTGTATAAAACTTTACGGATATAAAACCTCTTTTTAAACTAATAGAAACAAATACAGAAACTTATTTATTGAAAGGTATTTCATCTCTCTCACTTTGAAAGTGTTTTTGATTATACATGAGATAGTTTCACACAGTTGCATATGAAGGATTTGCAAACTTCAAACTCTGAGGATAGCATTTTTAAATATACAGTAAAACCTTATTACCTTGTGTTTATAATCTATAATCCAAATTGTACCTTATCACAGTAAAACCTTGTTAAAAACCAATCTGGGATATAGTGAACCTTCCCTTATAACGAACCTGATATAATCCCCACTTTATAATATAGTCAACTATGGCTATAACAAACCTTTTTTTTTTTTTTGCTTATCCCTAGTACACGGGGTACAGGCCATGATAATCATGGTGGGTAGTTAGCGACTGCTTTTACTGTAAGCGCACCACATGTCTACACATGTGAAAGCAGTTCGACTTTGCACTTACAAATGTGCCAGAGCCCCGTTTGGTTACTTGCACTCGCTGGTGGGGTTGGACTTTTGCATGAATCGGGGGGCCATTGGAGCATTTTTATATTTTTTAAACAGAAAAAAGTGTCCAATGCGGGAATCGAACCCGGGTCGTAGTGGTTGAAAACCAAACGGTTTAACCAGCCTTCCACCAACCCCCATAACAAACCATGACTATAGTGAACCACAGGTTCAGTTCCATTGGGGTTTGCTTTAGAGGGAGTTTTACTGAATAAATTAGCACCACAATAAGTCTTTAAATATAAGAGGAAAATGTGCTAAGGCATACAATTTGGACTATAGATTAGAACTACTAGGTAAAATGACCAAATCCAAATAAATTAATAGTGTATGACATTTCGGTAACAGCATTGTTACCATCATCAAACAAAAGTACAATGATGGTAACAACGCTGTTACTGAATGTCATACATTGGATTTGGTCTTATTACCTAGTAATTTGGATATGATCTTGTTGCTATATGTTTATAAGAGAGAAAGATGATAGCAAGGAAGCCCAAGCTTCCAAAGTGTGTTAAAGAGATCCCTTTATAGTGTTGCACTGGGCTGCGGTTTGGCAGATCCTTCAGTCTTGATTCTGTCCTCAGACGCGTCTTGCATCTTTCCAGAACGTGTCTCAACCATCCTACAAGGTTAAACCAGTCAATAATAAGATAACTATATTTTTAGGTATAACACCTAGAATCTCTCTTTATTTATCACATCAAAGTTTAAAGCAGGTGGTATAGTCAGTGTATCAAAATACAAATGATTTTATAGTACATAATATTTTATAATAATATTCTATTTTATAAAAATAAATAAATATATAATTTAAATTTTAAATATATTAAAAATAATATTATAAATAATTTTAAAAATACACGCATTAAATTATGATGCAACAATAGAAAAACAAAGATATGAGGAAATTCTCCACTTTCCACAGATTTGAGCTGGTGTAGAGCTGGTAAAGAGAAGTGGGTGACGATGGTTGTGTGGCCCCAGCTATCGCAACAGACTCCTCTACTACCGTTACTTCGATGGAAGGTATTCTGTCCTTGTGGCAGAGTGTGTGAACTTACCTAATGTAACCCACCACTAATGTGTTTGTGTGTGTGTGCATGGATTCATTACTAAATATGTGACACACTAATGACATATCTTTTTTTATTTGTCCAAATAAACATAGCAGCTTTGCCAGGACCATCCTACAAAGATTGGCGTCCTGTTAATCAAAGTTAGGGTTAAGTTACTGGATATTTTATCTTTAACGACCAAGTTACATTGATCCCCAGATGAATATTTTCTCTCAAATGATTTTTATCATGACTGAGTGAATTAGAATGCGTCTGTCTTTGTCATTAAGACTGGGAGCACTACTCAGTGGCAGGCCGACTTAGTTCCAAAATGAAATGGCTGCCTCTGACATGAGGAACAGACGCCATGTATAGCCGCTCCTAACATAGAGTACCAACACTGCTCATCCTGTATCCCTGAATTAGGAGCCTTTACAGGGTACTATTAGCCGGGCTAGCTGAGTCCAGGTTTTTTAGTGAGCTTGTTACTGCTCCCCCTTCTCCATTCGAGCTTGGGACCAAAAAAGGCAGAGTTTATATCTCAAGCTCTACAAACTTGATTCCTAATATGATTGGGTGTAGATAAGAAATAAGTGATTTTATACAAGGGATTATTAGATTTTTGGAACTTCACTTTTTTTTATTTGTATAATGTTTATATAGAAAGACTTGGTAGCTCTCTCTCTCTCTCTCTCTCTATATACTGATCCTTAATCTGGGAGATTGGAACTTAAGAGGCTGGTGGTGAATGTTATCAGCTGTTACTGATTAGATCTAGCAGCCACTCTCAACTGGAACAAGTGATTTTGGAATATACACAAACTTAAAATGTTGTGTTTAATGGATTCCTGCCTTGATGGTTCTACATGACCTTATATTTATTCAGCACCATTATATGGTGTTAGTGGCATTCATTGAAACTAAGCTTCTTCTTTATCTCCTTATTAGCTCAGTTGGCAGAGCGGAGTACTGTAGATGTATGAGCAGTTATCCTTAGGTCGCTGGTTCAAATCCGGCTTGAGGGATTTAATCTCCTCATTCAAAAGCCTGTTGAGAATCATGGGCTTTTATGATTAGGATTTGTCAAATTTACCCTCAGTGGGTATTATTTCTTACTAGTGTTTTGATAAAAAAATTAGCTGTTGGTGTATTGAATTCAGATTAGTGGAGAGAGCATGAAGCATCTTGAGTGGTTCCTCCACTATTAGAAAGAGTAACAAATAGATGATATTTCAAGAGACAGCCCAACTAATTCTGTGTGATGACATTGAGAATGTTGCCCCAGGTTCCTGCAGCCAACAGCAGGGAGCGAAGCACCGCCACCAGCTAAGAAGGAAGTGCCTGAAGATGTCCCACCCTCAGAGCCCCCCAACCTGGCCATGATAGACCCTCCCCCACGTCACGGCCCCATCAGGCCCAAACCCCTCACCATCAAGAAGCACCTGGGGGAACAGCCCCCGCGGCTCAAGTCCACCCTCAAGAGGGACCGTACTCCACCACCCCTCCCCTCAGCCTTCCTGTTCCCAGACAAGATCCCGGAGCCCGCCAGCAGTAGCAGCAAGAACCTGGAAGTGGACGGCCTCATCTCCCAGCTGGTGGCTGACATTGAGAAGGCCACAGGGAACCTGGATCTGGATGAATCCCCAACTTCAGAGACGGAAGAGAGGACAGAAGGGGACGGGGACTCTGGAGCCTTCATGCCCATCACTGGTGAGTCCTACGACACCTCCTCAAGTTTTTCTTATTGTAAACTTGTGGTGGATGATATTCATATGCTCAAAAAGGTGCCATTCCCTTTTTGAACAATGTATTAAAACAATCTATTTATTGGTGTATAGTTGGAAATTTTGCCAGGAGGATATTGATCTAGTAAAATAGAGGTCGACGCTCATGTCAAAATAGATGGTATCAATAGATAGACAAACACAAGGTAATAAGATAGATAGACAAACTTTTATTTTTACAGATTTTGTCTTCTATCTCCGCACAGATTAGGGTCACTACAACATCAGCTTCACCTTTAGCACAAATCCATATAAATGCCACATCTTTATTCCATTGTTGTTGTTGTTGTCGTGTCCAAAGAAGTCTCAGATGTCTCCATGCATCTCTAACACAGCAGCAGCAATATCCACTATATTGGGTGTGTAAAGCTGCTGCTCTGGGTCTAAGTCAATTTTCTGCAAGGCTGCAGACATTGTTGGACATAAGAATATGTGAGTAGGTGTTAGTTCCACACCAGGACAGTTGTTGCATGCCCTATAGGTTCTTGTGCCATCTGGATGTATTGCCATTCCTTTATAGTGTTTTGTTCTAAGTCTTGTTATAGTTTTTGTCATTTTTCTCTCAGAGTCTCAGTTCTCTTTGGGTTATTGTACTTACAGATGGGAGTGTTACAATTTAATAATTTTTCCTTCAGAATGTTATAAAAACTACCCCAGTATCAATGAGGTCCATAGCCTGATGAAATCCATGGTATGCAATTCAGCTATTTGAATTGGCACAAAGTTGTACTTGTGATGAATTTATTGGTTTGAATCCATGTGAGTTGCATATATAGAGAAACCAAGAAAACAGTTGGTTGGCATTTTAAATGGAGAGATACCTTTTTTATGTACTACTGTAAGACCCAGTAATCCTACCACTGTCAAACTTCTTGTTTGTCCATCACTTGCTGCTGTATATATTCTTGGCTGTGGCAATATGGCCTGAGTGGTGGTGGAAGTTCATCAAGACATTTCATTTAGATGGAGATTCCATCATGACTCTGGGTGAAGTAGGATGTGTCTGCCTTTGTCATTAAGACTGGGAGCCCTACTCAGTGGCAGGCCGACTTAGCTCCAATATAATATGACCGCCTCTGACATGAGGAATAGATGCCATGTACAGCCGCTCCTAACATGGAGTACAGACAATGCTCATTCTGTATCCCTGGATCAGGAGCCCTTACAGGGTACTCTCAGCCAGGCCAGCTGAGCCCAGGGTTTTTAGCAAGCTTGTTACTCCTCCCCCTTCTCCTTTTTAATCCGAGCTTGGGACCAGCAAAGGTGGAGATTGAAAGATGAGAAGAGTTTGTGGGGAGCATCTCTAAAAGGCTGATAACTGAAGAAAAATCTACTTAAGATTGTCATTCCTGGTCTATACACCTAGCTGCAACGGAATATATCAATCATTACCTTTATTAAGACTTTACTCTTCTATACAGATTTTCTTTTTAGAGATTCAGAAAAAAGAAGTGCCACAAAAAGAGGGAGAGAGAAATTCAAAATTACTAAGTTATATGAGAAATATGTACAATGGGGAAGGCATAACTTGTTAGTTTGAGATATTCTCCCTAGAACTCCCCTTATCTTTCCTCTTTTTATTATAACAAAAACAATGGTACACGTGGAAATTTGCATATACATATATACAGTAAAACCTGTCTTGGGAGTTTCCATTTGGTTCCAAGCAATATACACTCGCAAGGAAAGTCAATCTTGAAGCATGTTGAATATAAAAATTGGTTACAAAATAATCCTAAAACAATTTTTTTTTAAATAAAAATTCAATGCACTTAACATCGGATATTCAACACAATCAGCTATTAGGGATATAAAAACATCTAAAGGCAAATGTAGAATCAGGATCGAGATGCCTAAGAAAATTAAATTATTAGAAACAAAAATGTTTCCCACTAAAAATGCACTCTTAAGACAGGAAAATTTCCTAAACACGTGACCCCCAAGACAGGTTTTATTGCATACAGTAGAACCTCTCTCTGTAAAGACGACACTTAGTTACAGTGCCAAAGTGTCCTTTAGGCATCATCTTACTGGAGAGTTGCTAATTAGTAAAGATGGGGTAATATTGGAGATGAAAAGTGTCTTTAGTTTTAGAGGTGTCCTCTAGCAAGAGTGTCATCTCACTGTATATATACAGTAAAACTTCCATGAGAGGACACCTGCACTAGCAGACACCTCTCTAAAAAGGACAGTTTTCATTTGCAAAATTACCATTTTTATTATTTAGTAACTCTTCGGTAGGAGGACACCTCTCCCTAAGGATACTTTGTTGTTGTTGTTTCTTATTCCCTTGTGTAAAGATTACACGAATTCCATGAGTTCATGCTCCTCGAGCTGTTTTATGATAAGCAGCGGCCTCTCCCAAAGGTCCTGTTTAGTGCATCTAATGCAAGCCAAAATGTGTTCTGGGGCTGCAGGTGCCAAGCTACATTTTAGGCAAGTGGGGTAGATACTTTAGCTCTGCAATTAGGTGTCCTTTTACAGGGAGGTAGTTCTACTGTATGTATATGTGTGAAGTGGTAGTAAGACAGAACGGGTGTGGCAGTCACCACCATTCAGACTCCAGGAGATGATGTCCCAAGGAAGAGCAACCTGAAGACAGAAAAGAGCTTCAAGTCTTCCTCCCGTAGGGTGAGCTTTGATCCTGTAGCCCTGCTCCTGGATGCTGCCTTGGAGGGAGAGCTCAACCTGGTGATGAAGACAGCGGAGGACGTAAGTTCCTGTCACTGGATATTTCCTTCCTTGTGGGGGGGGTTCTACATGGCCAGCCAGGAGGTTTGTGGGTCATTGCTGGCACGCCTCATTAGACTGGGAGCTCCCAAAATACATTAGGTGGTGGCCCCCTCCCTTCTTTTTCTGGTCTGTCAACTGTACAATGACTCAGATAATTACCAACCTCAGAGGTGAATGGCTAGGAAAAATATTTCATAGCTATCTTTTTTTTTTTTTGTGAAAATTTGATTTTTTTAATCTAGAGAGAGAAATGAGAAAGAACATTATTAGGGGAAATCTATCCTTGTGTTTCTATGATAGATCGTTGATTAGGAATTTTTTAAAGAATAAAATAATCTCTCTTTTTCAATAATCATTTATTTATTATTTGAAAATTATTGTTGTGGGGATTTTTTTAAAAGGATTTATTCCTAAAGAAATGAATGTGTTCCACAAAACAATACAAATCCTATTTTGTCACTGTATTGCTAGGCTGATCTTAACATGGAAACCTTCCTAATGTAGTGGTTTACCTTGTAGCTTTTTTATTATAGGTTGAAGAGATTACCAAGGTACTTTAGACTACACTAATATACACTCACGGATAAAACTTAAGGAAGTTGTACCTTTTAGCATGTATATCAGGATTCAGACAATAACTCATAAAGATATTTGATACACAGTGTCCTTTATTGAAGACACAAGATAATCAAGTGTGAACAAAATTACAGATACCAAAGACTTCACAAGGTAATTAGACCAAATCCAAATAAATAAATAGTGTGTTATGTTTCGGTAACAGTGTTGTTACCATCTTCCTATTTCCACTTCTTTCACTTCCTTAAGTTTTGTCCATGGGTGTATTTCACTGATATAATATCATCCCTTTCCAATTTTCCTTCACTCTGTTGTTGTTGCTTCCTATCCGCTTGTGTAAAGATTACACAAATTCCATGAATTCATGCCCTTCCTTCACTCTACAACAACATTGTTTCATAAAACTGTTAAGAGTTAATCTAGCCTCCTTCATTTGTCAGGTGTTTTGCAATTGTAAGGTTTACCTTGAGTGTCTGAAAGGCCTTCCATTGACTCTCGATCAAAAATGTCCAGTGAGATTGTAGTTATTGCATTTTTTTTTTTTTGCTTATCCCTAGTACATGTGGGACAGGCCATGATAATCATGGTGGGTAGTTAGCGACTGCTTTTTACTGTAAGCGCACCACATGTCTACACATGTGAAAAGCAGTTCGACTTTGCACTTACAAATGTGCCAGAGCCACGTTTGGTTACTTGCACTCGCTGGTGGGGTTGGACTTTTGCAAGAATCGGGGGCCATTGGAGCATTTTTTTTTTTTAACAGAAAAAAAGTGTCCAATGCAGGAATCGAACCCGGGTCGTAGTGGTCGAAAACCAAACTGTTTAACCAGCCTTCCACCGACCCCCCAGTTATTGCATACAAAGTGAAAGATCTTGGTGTGTCAGCCTATTGTTTAGATTCTTGAGGACCGTCTCATAGTGCTTGAGGCAATG